TTTAGATTATGTTAAATTTTCTTATATATATAGTAAATTAGTTCATCTATATCAAATTTAATTTTACTAGATTATGAAAAAACGATTACAGTTATCAAAAATATTATGAGACTATAAACTTTGAAACTTTTATTGAACTTAAAATTTAAAAAGTATAAAAATTGAAATTAACTTTAATAATATATATATATTAGTTCATTTTGATTTTTTAACATTATAAGATTAAATTATATGTTCAGTAAAAATTTTAAAAGCAATTTCATAATAATCTCAGTTTTTCGAACAATTGTAAAAACGAAATCATTTCGGTTTCTAAACTTGGTTAGTCATATGTACAGAAGTTTACATAGGAAAATTCATTCTAAAAATACCAGGAAAAATTTTTTCATGTTAAATTCAGACTATGTTTTCAGAAACCGTTCAAAACTGTCAGTGTTTTACAGGTTTTCTTAAGGCGTAAAACAAAATTTTATCTAGACAAAACGTTTCTATTTAAAATGTGTTACTTTTATGTTCGAGATTAGTCATTATATAAAATGAACAATTTAAGGACATGAATGTAACAAAAAAAACTTTTAATAATAATATTGGAATTACCGTTTTTAATAGTAATTTAAAAAATAACTTTAAACTACACAAAAATTCTATATAATTGCTTCTAAGTTAATTTTACACACAATATTGATCTTTATATAAATCATAAAATATTATAACGACAGTATTCTGTAATGTCGCGGTCATATAGCAACTTTAGATTTACCGCTAGATGGCGATCGCGGCGCTTCCTTTTTACGTCCAGCTGGTCGCACCGTGCAAGATGGACAACGGGCAGCATGAACCGATGATCATGATGCCGGTCTTGTTAATAATTCACTATGATTTCATCTTTTCCATGACTTTTGGAAAAAAGGCCACTTTCGAGTACTTTTGCCTTGTGTTAAACTCTTGGTGTACGGACTGTATATATTTACTTATCTTGCAAATGCTTTAAAATATAATTTTTGTTTAGCACCTATGACTTGTAGTAGTTCATTAGTAAAACACCAATTAATTACCTCAATTACAACAATATTAAAACTTAAACGAATTTTTTAGCCTAAATTGTTAAACCCTAAATTGAGATTTAAAGCTGCTATCATGGTGATGATTTCCAATATTGAATGGTTGAAGGATGAACAATTGAATCACACGCCTATTCATTTAATGGAAGTTACAACAGACAAAACATTGGATACTGCACTAGAATTAACAATTTTTGTAATATCCAACAATAAATTTTATTTTTAATAATTTTCATGTCCAATTATTTCAGCACAAACTCACGTTAGTCAGGCCGCGGGAACTTAGGACATCCTATGAAATCGAATCAATTGTTCGAGTACTTGGCACAGGATTTAAATTTTTTGAACTATTATCTCAGGTAACTTTGTATTCAAATTTGATTTTTAATTTTGTTTA